ATTACGGCGTAGTGGTGGCTGGTTGCACCTCCATCGAATGACGGAGATATAATTTCCAAAATTCAAAAGACGAAAATACAATAAAAATGTAAGCGATTCAAATTAATTAAAACTTAGTTAAATAAAAGTGTATATTGAATCATTTCTAACATAATTCTATGCGTCGTGTCCTTATTAGGTATATGTACACCAGCCGTGCATATGGTTCTGACCTTGATTTCCACTGAACACGACTCCAGCACATTCCAACAAGCACTATTGCTTCGACACGTTTCACACAATTTTTTTTTTATTTCGAGAACTTCACTACTCTGGTGTATATGACTGTTATAAAAGATCTTCGACAAACATTGATATTCATTAGAACGCTTACCAGCTGCAGACGCACTGGCTTCCGAGAAACACTAAGGGACTTCCTTCCAGAACGGTCACCTTTACACTATGAACTCATCAAATGTACGTTTTGAGTCGACAAACCTAATATGAAATAAAAACAAATTCTCCATATGCCATAAACAATGCATTGAATATCGTCAATAATTTACTGCACTTTACACCTGCTTTATTAATAAGAATTTCATAAAATTGCACTGTTGTATCGATATAATAGAAGGGAATGAAACGCCCCTGAATCAAAAAAGATTGTAGTAAAGAATTACGTATTGGTTCACATATTCAAAGCAAATGTATGCTTTTTCGTTATAAGAAGGTGTTAATATTGCGAAAAGTATTGGACGGCATGCAGCAAATATCACAAATAACGAATTATTGCTGGGCTCTCGCTTTGGTTTACAACCTTCAATTTCTAACGGCATTTATTTTGCCCTTTATTACATTATTTTGCCCTTTATTAAAAAATGTTACTAGAACAATTGTTTTAAAAGTTTTAGGTTTTCTTCCTGAGAGCAGGGCATGTTCTGAGAAAGAGGACCGTTTTTACGCCCCGAACAATCCAATGAGATAAAAGTGTGATTTTGTCATACTTTCAACGTTCCGGTTAAGAAATGCAGCCATAAAGCGAAACATAAATATACAGTATATACTCTATACTATATATAAATACAGGATATTGTTAATTCTGTTCAAATTATTTTATATTACAGTACGATATGTACTGTTTATTCGTACGTTCTGTTCTCGTAAGGTGGAATTAATTAAAAGGAACGAAAAGGCACTTTTAATAACCAACATTATTAAAACAATTTTTACAGCATGCCATCATTTTAAAGCAATTCATATCAATGAGTTGCAGCTAAAGATGGTGAATAAATACTCCTTTCCCCTAAAATACCATGTTATTTATTAAATGAGCAGTAAAAGTCAATTTTATTTTACGAGTAGAAATGGTTGCGACATTAGCTCGAATGACCGAGTGTCGTAATCCTATGAGCAAACTAAGGAACTTTTACTATGTGTACCACACTATTTTTTAGACAACTTTACTGACGTTCATTTTATTTTTATTTATGTATACAAATCCTCTAATGATACATGAAGATCAGTAGTATCCGATGGTCACAAGAAAGTATCTTGTTTCTTTAATTGCATTCGGAGATTTAACAGAACACTTGAGCAACGTCCCACTTTTTATATTAGTGCTCAAAATTGAATTTGTAGAACTCTTTGCATTCTCTGTCGCTTTTACTACCGGCTGTCTCAAAAAGGTATTTTAACGTTCATTACTTTTTCTTATAAGGTGGTGTTACAAATAATATTGAACCACACACGGTTGATATCACAAGTTATTGGAAGCTTCGAAATCTCGCCTATTAATTTATTAACTTCAAGCGCGTTCGGTATTAACTTTATAATGGCGTAATGATTTTAATAACTACATAATAATTACATAATTAAGTTTTATCCCATGTATTAAGTATTAATCTTAAGGACCGTGATCATTTGAAAATTTCAGTTCCTTTTCTCGTAGTATTAGGCATTTAAGAATAAATGTTCCAAGTAACTAGAATTAATGTTACTACAACAAATGTTTTATCATTTCATTTTTTTCAGAAGTTGGTACTTTGTAAGGAAGAAATAATTATCCATTCCTTCTTCTTACCTCCCGAATTGAAAATGGATAATGTAATATGTAAAAACTAATATAGTATAAATATCTAATTAGAAACATTTATATATGACGTTATTAAATGTATTGCTTCATTATTTAAAGTAACAGATACAAAGTCGCAGTCGTTCTGTAAATAAAACTGTAATGAAACGCAATATAAATGCAGAGTCCGGTTGACTCCGAAGAAAAAATAAGCTTGCTTAGGGACTTCCGCTCCATAGAAGCAAGTAAATATTCGAAAACAATGTTATAAAGTATGTTGGTAACTATATAATAATGTTGTAATAAAATAATTAATGATAGTAATATTTTGTTTGTTTGTATTTTGCGAATCGAGCCGTGTATCGGCCAGGGCCTACCAGCAACGCACCGTCCCTACCTCGCGGCCATGGGTTAAGGGGGTACGTGTGGTTACCACGTAGACATCCCCACGCCGAATTCCGGCCTTCTCAACCTGAGAAGTGAGTTTTCTCGTCGTCACACAGCAACATACATTGGGATATTGCGAGGAAAACGCATACTATAGTCTAGGCTCGACCGGGAATCGAATTTAGGGTCGCGTCATGGCCAATGAGCTAAGCCGCCAGGCCCAATATTAGTTAATAATAATAATAATAATAATAATAATAATAATAATAATAAATATACATAAATACATATGTATATATATATATATATATATATATATATGTATAAAATAAAATATATGTTCAATTCTATAAAAATTTTTTTCATTTTCATTTGTAATTACAGAAAAATATATTCTTTTATAATAAGTCTTTTAGTAAATCTGGAGTTTTTTTGTTCACTGGAAGCTCCAACACTATTGTATGCTTTGTGCTCCGCAATAACTAAATCTGGTCCTTATAAATGCACAATACAATGAACGCCTTTGTACGTTTTTACATGAGGAAAGAAGCATGTGTTCCGATGTATTCAATCAAATACATCGCAAACTAGCAACGCCCTCCAACAACATCATCAAGCACGTAATCTACTAGTGGTGCCGACTAAACTCCTCCTGTTCGTCGCCTGGTTGTTTATTAGTATTAATATTTTTTTTGTTTTATTTAAGGTATCACCAACTGCTTGGGCATTAGCAACAAGATTATTGAATTCAACGTTTAGGTATCTGTAAGAGTAGATAGTCTCTTGTCAAGAGGACCGCCAGGTAGCATCTCCGCGTTCGCGCCTGTTTCCACGCGCTCCTGCATCTCTATCCAGCGGCTTAAATTGGGAAGGAATTAAAACAGTGGTAGGGTTTAGGACACATGAGAGGGGTTGGACTACCCCTTTGCAAGCAGCCAAGCACGTTTTCTTGGAAACAATTTCAAATGAGATTGTTCGGGAATCGAATCCGGGTATCTTGGTGAACGGAAAGCGACTTTTGCTTTTAGCCACGAGATGGCAAATATTGCAACAAATTATTACAACAAATATTTCGTAATTATAGAATTATTACAGGGGTTGGGCTTTTCTACGAAAGGAGAAGCTATTGGCTCCCACTTCTTACTTCCATGATCAAAAAAATGAAATTTATGTGTAAACGATAGTACTATATAAATACCTAGTAATACATAATACTATATAGATAGAGTTATATGAAGTTTTTAAAATTATTACTGCCTTCATTATTTAATGTGGAAGTCACCGACTCTCAGTTATAATCTAAATAAAAATGTAATTAAACGCAATATAAATGCATGGCCGGATTTACCTTCAAGACAAAGACACAGTTGCATAAAGATCCCCGTTCACGGGGACCTCCCCGAAAAAAAGACAAAATATGCGAAAAAACGTTTTAAAGTGTGTTTGCAACTGTAAAATAATGTCTAATTAACATAAAAATAATTATAATAATTAATAATGTATTTAAGTAAAAAATGTAATACATTTAAATCCTATACTTTTTGTAATGACGCAAAAAGATATTCTATTACAACGGATGTCTTTTAAGGAATTTTGATAACTTTTTTCGTAGGGGGGTGTCCCAATTAAATTTGATTTGTGCCTCGCAATACCTTAATGTATATAAATGTGTTGTAGAAATAGTGTGTCGTTGACATACAAGAACGTAATATTTCGTGGAACCAAGTCACTTTTCCCGTTCGTGGCTTGGACGCTTCTTAATATCAGTACTATCATAACAAATATTTCAGAATTTAGAACTTTTTACAGGGGTTGGGCCTTTTCTATGAAAAAAAGGACCAATACACCTCCATTTATTAATTCCAGGATTAAAAACAGAAAATTAATGTCTAAATGATAATATAATATAAATACATATAATTACATAGAGATAGATGATTTTTAATAAAGCTATAGTGGCATTCATTATTGGACGTGACCAAATCATCAAATAGCAGTCATTTTCTAAATAAAAGGTAATTAAACGCAATTTAAATGCAGTGCCGGATTTACCTTCAAGGAAATCAGCAGTTGCTTATGTTTCCACTTTTCAAGGAGGTTGCTCGCCTTTTTGCAGTTATATTTGAGACTGTAAAATATTGTCACAAAAATTAATTATAACTAATCATGAATTTAAATAAAAATATAATACGTGTTAAATTGTATCAACATTTTTTCATATTATTTGTAATTGCAGACAAAGGTATTCCATTATAATAACTATTTTTAGTAAATTTGGAGAACTTGTTTCCATAGGGAGTTCCCAACACAATATTCTTTGGGCTCCGCAATACCTACATCCGGCCCTGCGTAAATAAATTGTGCGAGTATTGCTGATGGGTTGTTGACATTATTAAAGGATAAAATAAGTAGATTTTGTCAACTTAGTGAACTAAACCTAACATTACAAAGATGACTTCACTTATTTCATCCTGTATAAATGCTCAATAAAATGAACGCGTTTGTATATTTTTATATATAAAGAATGAAAAAAGCATTCCGATGTATTCAATCAAAACATCACCAGCTGGCAACGCCATCACATCGACATCAGCAGGCATGTAACGTACCCGTGGCTCCGAATCAGCCCCTCCCGTTCGTGTCGGTTCCAGCCGCACCCGCCGTCTTCCACACACTGTCGCGCGCCGCGGCCCTCGCGTGCTGTCCGGGACCGGCGGAGACGCCCTCGCTTCCTCCCTTCCGCCGGCGCAGATGCCACTGCGCATGCGCCGTTCGCCCGCCGCTCGCTCGTCACGGCTGACTGTTGAGCGCTCCCAAAACTAATTAACTGACGACGATCTGACCGCATACCGCTGTACGGGGGTTCGTGAGATAGAAATGACAATGGACAGAGTAAATGATTCGCTGGGTGAATGTAGAATACGTAGTATTGGGTTGAGATAAACGCTATTCCTTCTTCTTCTTCTTCTTCTTCTTCCTTGTCTTTTCCGTCTTTCTCGTCGTCTTTGTCATCTGCGTCTTTTTCACCTTTTTTGTCTGTTCGTATCTTCTCTCTTATCTTTCTTCTCATTAATTTTCTCCTCCTCTTCCTTCTCTCCCTCTATTTTTATTTTCTTTCATCTCATTTGTTTCGTTTCCTCCTCCTCTTTCTTCTTCCTTCTTTTCTCTCTCTTCTCCTCGTTCATCTGTTACTCTTCTTCTTCATCATCATCTTCTTCTTCTTCTTCTTACCCTCATTACTTTTCTCGGTCTCTTCCTTCTTTTGTTTCTTCCCTCCTTTACTTTATTTAGATTCTCCTCTTCGGTGTGTCAGCTAACATTACTATGGAGTGATTTCAATGGCAGGGGTGGCTGAAACACGAAAGCGTGTACACATTCACTTGGTTGCCTAATAAAACTAGTAAAGCTACAATAGCACATATTTTCTCGCATTTTGCAATGTTTTTGCGAGTTTAACAAAACTGACACTTGCGGTAATTATCAACTCGCAATTATGTGGGAATTATCAACATATTTCGGTCGTAGAGATACAATACTATTTTTTCCGTCAGAAATGGCCGTTTTTCGCTGCAGCATTACAGAACTTCCTCTATAATACAAATGTAGTATGCGAGAATAGACACGCGTCGGCGATTCGTCATGCCTTGTATTAATCTTTCAGCACGAACTGACGGCGTGAATACCTAGTATCTCTTTTCTTTCATTCAGAGATTGATTTCCCCTGCGTGAAAAGTATTATGTCTCTCCTGTAATCTATTTATAGATGCCTCATTAATAATTACTTTGAAAATATTTTCACACTTTGAAATATTCAAATCAAGGAAATTGAAAGAGAAAACAAATCTCATGAATAATCTTAGGTTACATTTATATTACTACGAACAGAAAAATTGACTTCGTTTCTCTGAATTCACAATTGCAGACTTCGTCAGGAATTGGTTTCATCACGACTCCTCTTAAGGGATATAACATCGATGTTAATGTTTGAAAAACATCGATGTTTTTTATAGGAACATATATTAGAATGTTTTAACATCGATGTTAAAACATCGATGTTTTGTGCTTGAGGTTTTCACGTGCTTGATATTTTGTTTGTAAATGAAAAATGTCTATAATCACAATTTTGTCAAAGTTACAATATGAAGTAATAACTGATAATACCACTGTCAGTTTTTGAGTTTTGTCAACCAAACGTTTATTATTCTTCCTTCATCGAATAGACTATCCCTGAGATTCGAATATCCCTATACTGTTTCCTATTCCACACAAGGGGTTGCGGTAAACAAATGTATCTTAATGAATCTGAAACGAATGATAAAATATAAGAAATTAAGCAGAGGTTCGCGTTGTTCTCCATTTGTTCCCAGCGTCACTGTCTCTCACAGCCTCTTGAATCGCTCTCAAATAATGCCTCTCACAGCCTCTTGAATCGCTCTCAAATAATGCTCGTTCAGCAGATTCGCGTAGTAAATCGGAGAGTAATGTAAAACTCTAGAGTATGTACTCTAGAGTAAAATAACCCTCCGTGAAGAAATGCTTATATTCTACTCGAGAGTAACTATCGTAGAGTAATGCTTACTCTCGTGTAACTACTTTCAACTTTATTTGGCTGTTGGTGAAACCGGCCCTTCGGTGTAGGGCCTCTCTTCGTCTTCCCGTACCCCTCTTCGGCAAAGAAAGAACTATCCCTTTGCGATGACTGTGGGTTCTCAGGCTTAGTTTTGTCCTTTGCTCGCATTATTTTTTTTTCATTATTTTTTTGTTTTCAGTTATAAATTATAATTATAAATTAATAAAAACGCCTACCGTGAGATTAAATTTTATTATGTACTAATTCAATGTTATAGATTACGAAACCAATTTTAAACTTTTCAAAACATTTATTATGTTGGTAGATGTATTAATAATTCTTAATGTTTTCATTTCGAACACGGATGTTTGGAAACAGATTTTTTTGTTATGTCGCATTACTGCTCTTATTCTTTTGACATGCTGTATTCAATTATTGTTGTTGTTATTATTATTGTTATTATTATTATTATTTGTTCTTTGTCTCGGAGTTTATCTCTGGTGTTTACTCTTTGAGACGCCATACTGGCATATCTCAACCAATGCTAGTGTTGTTTTAAAAAGTGCGAACAATTCTATATGTTTCCAGAATAAAGGATTTTTGGGCTTTAGGAAGTATGATATTAGAGTCTAGGCTATACATGTTTTTAAGTATCTCTTTAAATATTTGTTTTTGAACCAATCAGTTGCTGTGATTACTATTGGGATTTTATTATATTTATTGTTATTATTATTATTATTATTATTATTATTATTATTATTATTATTATTATTCCTCTACTTCACGTTAAAGATGTTATGAGTAGGCTGAATATAAAATCTAATTCAGGTTGCAACCAGCGACCTAAGGAGCAGATCTGGCGACTTTCACTGCCTCTACAATACTTGCACAAAATGTGGGCTGTTCCGAAGTAAAGCAATGTCTTGCAATTCCCAGTCTTTTGACTGACTTGGGAGATCAGCTAAGTTCTTTTTTGTTTGTTTTGTTTTAGGTCGCATCTACTTCTAGGTCATTAGCGACCGTTATTGCGTATAACGGTATGGTAACTACGAGGATGATGATGATAGGGGCGAAAAACGAACAACAAAGCACGAGGTGGGACTCGAACCCGCTATTTTTCGGTCCGAGTTCGTTTCGGCCTTAGCAATCTCGACCATCGGGACCGATCAGCTAAGTTCTTACACAAATTCTGCGGAACAAATCTCAGAGCGAACTTGACGCGACCTTAAATAAAAAAACCCTCAGAGCTCCAGTAACTATCGGGACGATCTGTGCTTTTAAGCCCTACATTCCGAAGATCACTATTTCCAAACTTGTTTTTAAGACGATAATATGCATCCTTGGTAGACACTTTTTTCTCCAAATTCCGGGAAGTAATCAGGGCCGGATTTACCTATAAGCAAAACAAGCAGTTGCTTGGGGGGCCCCATTCTGCAGTGAAGAGCAGAAAAAAAATTATATAAAATGTATTTAATGTAAAAAAATGTAACACAAGTAAAAATTTCTATAAAAAATTATCAGTTTTCATTTGTATCTGTACAGAAAGTACTTGCACTATAATATTTTTTTTTATTTAATAAAGATGGAGCTATTTTTTTGGGGGGGGGCAACACAATTTGGTGCTGGGGGCCCCGCACTACTTAAATCCGGCCCTGGAAGTAATATCAGATCTGTTAATCACTATCGTGTGATCAATTTAAATTTGTTGGTCGTACAATATTGTGCACTGTCCCACAAATGTCAGCGGTTTTGATGAGTGTTCATACCTCGTGGAACGGTGTTTGGAAATTCGGCAGCGTTACAGTTGTGCCATTGGAGGTAAGTCCACACCATGTCGTGTCTTTTCATGTATTTGCTCTTTGCTAGAATTGGACCAGCTGATTCAATATGATCAATAGTCTCTCCTTGTTCCCGACAGATACGAGAATTTATCATCTTGGGAAATTTTATGCCGTGTTCTGAACGCCTGATCTTGGGACGCTACTATAATTGCTTCGGATTCTGGCTTCATTCTTTCCCTTTCAAGCCACTTAAATGATTGATATTTATTTATATGCACCTTGTATATTCTTTTTAGATGTGGTTTCAACGATTTCTTTAATATTTTTTTTTCTCACATTTCATGTTAAGTACCATCGGAAATTCAATGTTAGTGTTGTGCTGCGTGTCTTGCGTAGTTTTCGTCGCAATGCTTATCGCTACACTTCAACGCCTCTGTTTCCCACTCTTCGGAGAGATTTAATGATGAGTCTCATTAGTGGGTCATATTTATGACTGACTACATACTTTCTCATCTCGTCTACTGCATTGGGCCAGGAGGTTTCAATTTGACTGAGTCGTCTTCCTCCTTCCTTGACACGTTTTCCGTGACACATTTTATTTTGTGGTCGCGAATTGGCCGCCTGGAACGGACATACAACTACATTTACCGAAGCTCAGTAACATTTATCCAGTGGCAAGTATATGTGACTTCGTTTTGGGGGATCAGCATTACGTTCAATCCAATTTTTTAACCCCCAGGGTTACTACTACTGGTGGTATGGAAAATGGAATGATGGTGACCATGATGATAATAAAGGGTGAATGGACGACACACATACGGTTATATCATACACACCCATGCCCGAGGCGGGACTCAAACCCGCGATCCTTCCTTCCGAGATCGCTATGACACTGCTGCCTGAGCGAACTTGGCAATCTGGATTGTCTTTATTATTATTATTATTATTATTATTATTATTATTATTATTATTATTATTATTATTATTAATATTAATATTATTATTATTACTATTAACGTCTTCTCCTAAGAGAAGTGCCAAGTCACAACTTACCTAAAATCGAGTAAAAATGAGCGAACATACGAACAGCTATGCTGCATGAACGTAGAGTTTTATTGACACATCTTCACTCACTTCTTTTGTTTCAGTTTGTGATCTTTCCTATGCTGATATGCCAAGTTTGCAAAACACTGGAGCGACATGAATCAACATGACATCTCGCAGATATGTGAACTAGCCCAAAATCAACCAGATTAGTCAAAATCGTACGTTTGTAACTTTTCGTCATGTTCTGTTCGACGTAATCGTAATAGACTGTATGCAAGAACCCAAAGGAACGAAAAGCCACTCTCAACGCCCAGCATTCGTCAAGGGTTTAACAGTGCGCCGTCTGTTAACAATCAAAACAAATGAGTTGTATCTAAAGATGGTGTGTGAGCAGGTTTATTTTAAAAGTTGTTTTTCATTTTTTATTTTTTTTTCATAATAACATGGTTATACGAAACGTATCGAAAGAAAGACCGTTGGTTATTGGCTATTTATCGTCCTAATAACGTTAATATCAATTTTATTTCATAGTCATAAAATCAATCCAGTAATACCAACACATTACACAAATACGAAATGAAACCCAATATTTTATTAAAGATTTTTATATTACATTGGATTATAAAATTAAGAGCAACACAACAACTTCTTAGATTACTATAAAACTGGGTT